CTGTGGTTCGCAGCGAGGCGTGGGCTGCCCTGACTCACTGTGCTCCCTTCCCACCACGGGGACGGCTCTGAGGGGCAGCCAGGCCTCCTGCCAAGGCTGAGCTAGCGCCGCCTATGCTGTTTGGTGTCATGGGGATGGGGCCTTGGGGTGCCGGCATGGACCCCAGGCATGCCAGAGGGCAGGGGCTGAGTGGCACCGAGCCCTCCACTGGTATGGAGGGGAAGAAGCTGCTCTGGGATAATATGCTGGGAAACAGGGGGTGATCCAGGGGTCCTTGCCTGCCCCTGGGTCAGATCCGTATGGTGTCCTGTGCTGGGCTGGGCCCTGCATGAGGGAGCCTGGACCCTGGCGGACTCCTGCCCTCGTAGAGATGAGGGCGTCCCTCTGCTTCCATGTCACCGCTCGGGCTCTCCCTGATTCTGTCTGTCCTGCAGCTGACGCCGGGCGGGAAGGCGGCCCAGGCTGGCGTGGGAGTAGGAGACTGGGTGCTGCACATCGACGGGGAGAGCACCAGCTCCATGACGCACATCGAGGCCCAGAACAGGATCCGCGCCTGTGGGGACAGGCTGTGCCTCACCCTGAGCAGGTAGGATTCGCGAGTCCTGCAAACCTGGGGTTCTGGTGTGGCTGGAGCCGAGCCAGGGCCCTCTACCCAGTGCCGTCTCCTGGCATCACCGTTTCCCGGCATCACTGCTCCTTGCTTGGAGCCTGGCAGCCCCTGGCTGGTTCTGAGGGTTCTACTTAGCTGGTTGAGGCTTAGCCTGGCTGCTGGCCCTCACCTGCGAGCCACGGGGCAGTGCCCGTTGCTCGTGGCTCCCCTTGGGTGGGTGCTGCATCTCTGGGGTACCACCATTCTGGTGGTGGCTGGGCCAATTCCAGCACCTGCCCAGCTGTTTCCTCTCTTGCAGAGCCCAGAACCACCTGGGGAAGCCGCAGAAGGTACGTATCGCTCCTGGCGCTGCAGCGGCAGCTCAGCCTCATCTCAGGGGAGGGGAATCTCTGAGCATAGACGGACAAACGGACTTTGCTCCTGGGGCCCGCAGGCTTCTGGGGGACCGGGGTGTGCTTGGAGGACTGGAAACTCCTTGACGGAGGAGCAGCTCTGGGCCCCGGCACTACAGGGGATCGGAGGGCACGGGGTCTGCCCAGCAGACACCCGGGCCCCGGCTGCCGCCTGTCTGTGCCCGCGCCGGTGCTGGGTGTGGGCAGGGGTGCAGGGGCCAACGCAGGGAGGAGGCTGGGCAGCCGCAGCACAGCCTCGGGGCCCCATGTTTGCTAGTGCTGGGGAGTGCCCTGGCATGGGGAGGCAGGGCTGGGGCCGGTGACCGGTGGCTCCTGGACGGAAGCCACCTGCATGCGTTCAAGCTTCGTGCCGCAGGTCGGTTGCGATCAGCGTGTGTGCATGCACCGCCTCGCCGTGGGCAGCAGTGAGCATCCAGGGCACTTACTAATCCTCCAATGACCCTCGGGCCAGGCTTGTGACCTGCTGTTGCTGGGCTTGGTGCCCTGCGGAGAGAGGTGCTAGCCTGGCACAGCCCGGTGCCTATGCTGTCCAGCTTTTCTACCTGGTTGCCTGCTGTGCTGCCTGGCCCGGGGCTGCCCCTTGCATGCTGCTTGACGTGTGAGCCCGTGTCTGTGTGTTTTGTCTTGCTCAGGACTCACTCCCCTGCTCTGAACCCCTGAAATATAACTTCGCTCCCAGCACCGCCCTCAACAAAACAGCTCGGCCCTTCGGGGCCGGCTTGCCTCCGAACCCACGGCCCGGGCTGGTGACGAAACCCGTGACGTATGTGCCCCTGGCGCCCACCTGCACCCCCCAGCACAATGGGTATGTTGCTGTCTGTCCTGCTCCCCCAAGATCAGGTGGAGCCCGCTGCCCGGCCCTGCTGCGCCTTGCATGCCAGGCACCCATGGGTGGGAGCGGGTGATGGTGCCTGTGCTGGGATCTCCTGATGCCTGGGTTACCTGGCACAACAGGAGTGTCCCCACACGCGTGCTGGTCTCTCACCTGGGGACATATCAGCTTGTGGAGAGTCCTGAAGGGCACGGCACAGCAGTTGTAGCAGGACACTCGCTGGCATCTGCAGCGGCAGGGGAGCAG